GAGCTGTTTCTCTTTATAAAAGCTGGACACACCTTTCCGCGGTTGCCTCCAGCCTTTCCTGCCGACTGTCACCCTTGGCTCCGCCTACCTGCAGGGCTTGTCTACCATTTTTCATTGACTAACCCAGTGCTTTGCAGGATTAGTTGAGCTTCAGAGTCATGGGTATGTAAGTGTGCGTGTGGGGAAAGTGGGGGGTCGAGGGTCTTGTTAAGATGCCGATGCCCGGATTTCCCCAGATGCACTGAATCAGAATTCTCAGCTATGGTACCCAAATTGTGTAAGTTGAACCACTCCAAGTGCTTCAGATGCACACTAAACTTGACATCCATAGACCAGAGTTCTCTTTCACTGATACAAATATTCAAGTTTACTACCTAGGTGGCTCTTTCTATAGATGATATGTGTGATTTTAAAAAATGGATACATTTAATTTATATACATGGAAATCCATTTAAGATGTTTTGGCCAGTGGTTCTTAAAGGGGCTTATCAGAACACCTGCAAGACCTCCTCCCACTGTGCGCATCCCCTTGCCCCTTTGCCATAATTACCCACGTTTTGTTTCTCAGTCCATCTGTCCTGTCTGGATTAGAAGAAAAAGCACATCTCACAGTTTCAGGCAGATTGCTTTGCAAGTGAATGCAATAGGGATTTATATTTTAATGTGAAAAATCCTTTACTAGAGTAAATACTTGTCCCTCCCTCCAATGCATTTGTCTTATTACTCTAGATGGTTAGTAACAGGACTGTGTGTTATAAACACATGTTTAGACATCCAAATATACACACAGATGGAAAATATCAAGCTTTCATGGAAGGCCCATTCCCCAAACACAGACACTCAATGGAATTTGCCTCTTTTTTCTCTATGGAATTTGAAGGTCAGACTTGAGTGCAGGAGGTTTAGGGAATTCTTGTTCCTAGCCTCCTAGCTTCCACCAGCTGCTGGCTCTGACATTGTCATTTTGATTTTTGTGGCCTTTAGAGAATTCCCAGGGTGGATGGATAAGAGGTGGCTTGGGGAGGGGGGAGTTCCTATCCCTTGTTTAAGCAATGGATTGTGGGAAGGACTTGTCATGTGGAAAACAGCTTGATTTATACAAGGGAGGTAGCAGGGACTCCCAGGACCCAGCGTGCCCCATCACACCCCAGAGGATTTTCTTCTGAGGTTTATAGAATGAACTGGTGGATGATCAACTTTAGTATAGTGACTATTTTTTTTAACTGGAAAAGAAATATGTACCCATGGAAGACACTATGGGGGAAAAGAGGAATGTAGAACAAATAAAAAGAGAGGAGGTGTAGGTTAGAGCTCTGTACTTAAGATCAGCAAGATGGGGATTCAAATCCACCCTGACTAGCTGTAAGCCTTTCAGTAGGGTTTCTTCACATCTCTGAGCTGGCCTCCTCTTAGATTCTATGGGAATAATTCTCTTATTATTCCATGGGAACACTATCTCTCTCTCACATGGTTGTGGTAAGGATTTGCTAAAGTGAATTTTGTGGAAGACTTAGCAAAATGCTTGAAATAGAATAGTTCTCAACACAAACATCTAAGCTAACAGGGATATTATATAATAATACAGCTATTATATAATAATATGATATTATAATAATATGGCTATTATTGCTGGTATCAATTGTGTGGTGATTCTTTCCAGGCAAGCAGACTGGACCTTGAATCCCATTTTATTTTAGGCAGGATTGCTGATATTGGCACTCCTAACACTAAGCCTAAATAATAGTTTAGAGAATTTGTTGAGATCTGTTAAATTAATACTCTTATTATAAAGAAGTAGATTTTAGTTATGTCTGTTGTCGTGATTTTTTGAACTGAAATGCTCTAATCCTTGTCTTAAGCTTACAAGCTCTGTTCTTAATTTGTAAGAATTATTTAAAAAAATACCCTTGGAAACAATTAATGTTCACAAGAAAGTAAGAAATCCTTGCAGCAATGTTTCATTTTATTATTATATTTTTCTCTCTCCTGAAAAACCAGTGAAGAATGGCAGCATATGTAAAACAGTAGTCAGTCTTGATACAGATGACACTTCCCTAAAAGCCTAGAAGTATTTCACATTTGCAGAAAAACACCCTGTTCCTAAGTTGGATCTGATCAAAATTTGAATCTATATTAACATCTCATTACTTTTTGAAAAAAATGAGCGCCATGTTTAATGGAAAGTGCTCAGCATCCGCCAGATCTGTTTTTGTGGCTACTGAACAAGGCCGTGTTGGGACTCAGCGGGGCCAGGGCACAGCTACATCCTTGTTAAAACAGTCACCTGGCGTGAATGCTGGCGCTCAGCTTTTCCTTCCTTTCCCCTCTCCTGTCCCTACATTGTTTTAGCTGCCAGTCTCAGTATTTTCTCCTAAGCCAGGGAAAGGGAAGGGCGAAACTGACTTTGAAAGAATAACATTTCTTTCTATGAACTTAAATAGAGTGCTCAACACAAAGCATCCTGTGTTTTCTTTTAACTGATGACACTCTTGACTGTGGCAATGGGCAAACTGCAAACTAGGGCTGCTGTTCGCATAGACATTGTTTTCGTCGTATACTAGCCAAATCGAGGGAAAGGGGTTCTGCTCTTCACAATTACATCCTGGTCCCTTCTCAGCACACTCTGGGGCTCCTAGTCCTGCTGTATCTTTCCTTCACTTCATTGTACTCAGCACCTTCTAATATGTGTTTATTATGTTTTTTGTTGATTCTCTGACTCCCTTGGTCATAGTGGAGGCCCATGACAGCAAGGATCTTTGTCTGTTTGACTCACTGGAGTTCTCTGTTCTGAAAACAGTGTCAGGTACCAAGCAGACACTCAATAAAAATTCACAGCATGAGTGAATGAACTCGTTTCTTCCTCAGTGTCCTCTCTCATACAATTATGGAGGAAATAACTGGTAAAAATAGGATACAAAAAAAATCTCATAAATGTGATAGGTTTATACCTAGTAGATATATTTGGAAGTGTAGCTCTGTTTGGAGTTTACATAGCTTAGTTGGTAGTAAGGAGAAGATACAAGAGGGGATAAAAGAGAAACATCTCCATGTTACTATCTTCTTCCTGTGTTTTTTCTTCAAAGCCTGACTCCCCTACCTGCCAACATGATATGTATTTCTTTGCTTACTTTCTATCTCCATTTACTAGAATGCAAAGTTTTTAAGGGCAAGAACTTGTGTATGTCGTTCATGGCTAGAACCCCATTGCTTAGAACAGTGTCCGGCGCAGAGCAGGCCCTCCGAACACATCTGTTGAATAAGTGAGTGTTTTGATGAGAGTGTTGGAGACTATCCGTGCCTGGTCCTGAATGCTCGTGGTCTCTGCAGCACGATCCAACACTAAGACGGTGACGCTGTGGAGAGGGGTGATGGGCAAGCAGAGGAGAAAGGGGAAAGGGTGACTAAGATGACACCAATATTTTAAGTTTTTCATTCACAGTGAAAAAGACGCCCCACTCAGTGTATACACGGGGTATAGGGTGAGCTTAGGGACTGTGGTTTGGATCCTGGATTATCCACTTATTTTCAGAATAAACAAATAATTTCTTGATTTCTTGATGTCACATTTTCATTGCTTATAAAATTACAACAATGTTATGTACTCTGTGGCTATAGTGGGGGGACAGGAAGTGCCTGACACATCATAGCTAGTAAGCAAAAGTTGGCTATCATCTTTATCATCATCATTATCACCCAGGGGTTGGCAAAGTAGAGTCTGCAGGCCAGACCCAGCCTATGGCCTGCCTTTGTAAATATAATTTTTCATTGTACTCAGCACCTTCTAATATGTGTTTATTATGTTTTTTGTTGATTCTCTGACTCCCTTGGTCATAGTGGAGGCCCATGACAGCAAGGATCTTTGTCTGTTTGACTCACTGGAGTTCTCTGTTCTGAAAACAGTGTCAGGTACCAAGCAGACACTCAATAAAAATTCACAGCATGAGTGAATGAACTCGTTTCTTCCTCAGTGTCCTCTCTCATACAATTATGGAGGAAATAACTGGTAAAAATAGGATACAAAAAAAATCTCATAAATGTGATAGGTTTATACCTAGTAGATATATTTGGAAGTGTAGCTCTGTTTGGAGTTTACATAGCTTAGTTGGTAGTAAGGAGAAGATACAAGAGGGGATAAAAGAGAAACATCTCCATGTTACTATCTTCTTCCTGTGTTTTTTCTTCAAAGCCTGACTCCCCTACCTGCCAACATGATATGTATTTCTTTGCTTACTTTCTATCTCCATTTACTAGAATGCAAAGTTTTTAAGGGCAAGAACTTGTGTATGTCGTTCATGGCTAGAACCCCATTGCTTAGAACAGTGTCCGGCGCAGAGCAGGCCCTCCGAACACATCTGTTGAATAAGTGAGTGTTTTGATGAGAGTGTTGGAGACTATCCGTGCCTGGTCCTGAATGCTCGTGGTCTCTGCAGCACGATCCAACACTAAGACGGTGACGCTGTGGAGAGGGGTGATGGGCAAGCAGAGGAGAAAGGGGAAAGGGTGACTAAGATGACACCAATATTTTAAGTTTTTCATTCACAGTGAAAAAGACGCCCCACTCAGTGTATACACGGGGTATAGGGTGAGCTTAGGGACTGTGGTTTGGATCCTGGATTATCCACTTATTTTCAGAATAAACAAATAATTTCTTGATTTCTTGATGTCACATTTTCATTGCTTATAAAATTACAACAATGTTATGTACTCTGTGGCTATAGTGGGGGGACAGGAAGTGCCTGACACATCATAGCTAGTAAGCAAAAGTTGGCTATCATCTTTATCATCATCATTATCACCCAGGGGTTGGCAAAGTAGAGTCTGCAGGCCAGACCCAGCCTATGGCCTGCCTTTGTAAATATAATTTTATTGGAATACGGCCATACCTATTCATTTTTTTTTATCACCCATGGCTGCTTTCTCACTACAACAGCAGAACTGAGTAGTTATAAGAGACGGAGTGGTCTGCAAAGCCTAAAATTTTACTCCCTGGTCCCTTACAGAAAAAGTCTGTGAAATTGCCTTGGAATACGGTCTTTCAGCAGCATAAACAAGTCCAGCAAAGTGTGGTCCGTGGAGCACTGTGATTCACAAACTGTTACTGATCCACTGCAAGGTAAACACAGAAACTAAGGGTAAGTGTTTGGAAGCATTTGTAACAATGTGATGTGCTGTTGACATCCAAGTGCATGATTTTGTTTGATACGAAAGTGTTGGATATAAAAAAATAATATACCCTGGCCCTTCCCACTGGAATAGAATCTGGTGTTTTGTAACAGGATTTTGTTGTACTGGTAACTTAGTAAGACATAGTCATGTGGTTTCAGATGAGAACATCTGGGGTCCCATCAGGTGGGAGTGACAAACAGGTCCTGAGATTGCAAGCGACCTGGGAAGGTTGATGAGCGAGCCCATTAATAACGTCATGCAAATGGGTTCTAGATGTAGATGGGTGGGCCTGCTACAGTTCACTCACCAGCTAATACAGTTGTAATGTGTTGCTTCCTATCTGAGAGAAGGCAGCCACCTCAGGGTATTATGTATGTCTCACATACATATATAAATGAATTCCTTTGGAGGTAAATGCATTTTAAGTCCATAATTCATCTTCTCTGAACAGGAAGCCAACGACTTTCCTGGAAATCTAGCAAAACAACCATTCTGTGACCAGCCTTATGTCTTGTTGCATGTGCACTTAAAAAAAGCAGACTGACTTTTTCCTTTTTCTGTTTTAGAATCAGTTCCAAACAGTAAAGCCTGCCAGAAAAAACAGACAAACTCTCAGGAACAACAATGCCCATTATGTGTGGGGTAGGAGCTGCCAGATTTTGATTACTGGACAGACATTAACCCCTTTGGTGTCCTTTTGGGGAAATGCCAAGTCTGAACGCAGACACTTCCAGGATTTTACACTCACTTGTGGTGTGAGAGTAGGCGATTTATAATGACTTGTGCAAAAAAGGACTGTTGTGAGAAGGAGGTACAAGTTCAAGGCCACATGTCCTTGTTTCCTGCATTCCTGCATTCTGCCGGGACTCATTCTGGCGAGTGGACACAGATTCAATCACCTCTGCTTTTCTCTTTGTGAGCCTGCTGGTCGTGGGCGAGGAGAACTCTGCCCTGCCATCTGCCCTGGGGTGTTCAGCTGGCTGCCCCAAGGAAAGGGGCAAAATTAGCATTCACAGAAGAAAACCTGTGGGTTTCCTGAGGCCAGCATTTATGGCAAAGGTGCTAGAAAGGAGAATTCCTGAAAAATGTTTTCTGATCAGTTTTTTTCCCCTCTGTCGTATACCCTGTATGTGGACAGACTATATCGCATTTTGAGAGTTTAGATAAGCAGAGAGCCATGCAATCTCTAGTGGGAGGATAGCAGTGTATATGTATTATGTGTTTATATGTGTGTTTCATTTGTCCTTTTACTTTACTCTTTAATATATATTTATTGATAGTCCACTGTAGTACAGCTGGAATACCAAGTTAATTACAGTAATAACAATGCCTACCATTTATCAAGAACTTATTCTTGTCAGTGTTATGTTAAACACTTCACAAACATGTGCTTAAATTTACATACTCCTTTAAAAAACTATGAAATAGCTCCATTTTACACATTAGGAAATTAAGTCCCAGAAAAGCCAAGGGCCCTGGCTACAGAGCTAGGATTCATATCCAGGTCTATGTGATACAAAACCCATTCCTTTCTTCATTTTGCCAAACTGCCTTCCTAAAGATGAGTTGAAACGAAAATGCATTTACTTTATTTTTTGGAATTCACATTCTGGTTGGCACGAAGGGTGTGTGATGCAGAGTGAAAAAGGTTCAAACATGGCTGTGCACTAAATACCGTGATTGATTGTGCTGGAAGGCAGTGGGAGGTGGGAAGGGGTAGAGCAAGGCGCCATCGAGACAGTAGTTCTTGGAAGATGCCTCTGTGGAAGGGGATATGTGCTTCAGAGAGGGAGAGGGAGATTTATCTGAGAGAAGGCAGCCACCTCAGGGTATTATGTATGTCTCACATACATATATAAATGAATTCCTTTGGAGGTAAATGCATTTTAAGTCCATAATTCATCTTCTCTGAACAGGAAGCCAACGACTTTCCTGGAAATCTAGCAAAACAACCATTCTGTGACCAGCCTTATGTCTTGTTGCATGTGCACTTAAAAAAAGCAGACTGACTTTTTCCTTTTTCTGTTTTAGAATCAGTTCCAAACAGTAAAGCCTGCCAGAAAAAACAGACAAACTCTCAGGAACAACAATGCCCATTATGTGTGGGGTAGGAGCTGCCAGATTTTGATTACTGGACAGACATTAACCCCTTTGGTGTCCTTTTGGGGAAATGCCAAGTCTGAACGCAGACACTTCCAGGATTTTACACTCACTTGTGGTGTGAGAGTAGGCGATTTATAATGACTTGTGCAAAAAAGGACTGTTGTGAGAAGGAGGTACAAGTTCAAGGCCACATGTCCTTGTTTCCTGCATTCCTGCATTCTGCCGGGACTCATTCTGGCGAGTGGACACAGATTCAATCACCTCTGCTTTTCTCTTTGTGAGCCTGCTGGTCGTGGGCGAGGAGAACTCTGCCCTGCCATCTGCCCTGGGGTGTTCAGCTGGCTGCCCCAAGGAAAGGGGCAAAATTAGCATTCACAGAAGAAAACCTGTGGGTTTCCTGAGGCCAGCATTTATGGCAAAGGTGCTAGAAAGGAGAATTCCTGAAAAATGTTTTCTGATCAGTTTTTTTCCCCTCTGTCGTATACCCTGTATGTGGACAGACTATATCGCATTTTGAGAGTTTAGATAAGCAGAGAGCCATGCAATCTCTAGTGGGAGGATAGCAGTGTATATGTATTATGTGTTTATATGTGTGTTTCATTTGTCCTTTTACTTTACTCTTTAATATATATTTATTGATAGTCCACTGTAGTACAGCTGGAATACCAAGTTAATTACAGTAATAACAATGCCTACCATTTATCAAGAACTTATTCTTGTCAGTGTTATGTTAAACACTTCACAAACATGTGCTTAAATTTACATACTCCTTTAAAAAACTATGAAATAGCTCCATTTTACACATTAGGAAATTAAGTCCCAGAAAAGCCAAGGGCCCTGGCTACAGAGCTAGGATTCATATCCAGGTCTATGTGATACAAAACCCATTCCTTTCTTCATTTTGCCAAACTGCCTTCCTAAAGATGAGTTGAAACGAAAATGCATTTACTTTATTTTTTGGAATTCACATTCTGGTTGGCACGAAGGGTGTGTGATGCAGAGTGAAAAAGGTTCAAACATGGCTGTGCACTAAATACCGTGATTGATTGTGCTGGAAGGCAGTGGGAGGTGGGAAGGGGTAGAGCAAGGCGCCATCGAGACAGTAGTTCTTGGAAGATGCCTCTGTGGAAGGGGATATGTGCTTCAGAGAGGGAGAGGGAGATTTAGTTGGGCATGCTTTGTTGTTAGGAAAAGACCTGGACTTATTCAGAGGCAAAGAAACTTCTGGAATACAGAGTAATTCTATAATGCAGAATAGAGGAACTCAGCAGGAAATTCTCCAGGGTTGCTTCTCCACTTACCCTATCCATATCTTGTTTCTTGTTCATGGCATTGCCATGTCCCACTACAAGGAGATACAGGGACAAAGGGAGTTCAGCCTTGGTAAATCAGAGGGTGTGATGATTCTTATGGAAACCACAGGAAAGAGACAAAGGTAACCCATCACTGCTGCTGCAATGGTGGGACCTTGTGGGATCCAGGGCTGAAGGACCTGCCGGCCCTGGAAGTGGCAGTGCAGGACCACGTGGAGGGAAGAAGAAGAACTGATACTGTTGGTTCTCTTTGATTGTGTCGTTTCACCTTGAAGGGCATGGCAGCCTGGTTCTTTCATCAGAGATAGCGGGATAGAACAGGAAAGGAATGTAGCGCCACAGACAGCCCTCCTTGAAGAGGACAGTGAGTAAGACGATGCTCTGTGTTAACACTGCGAGGTGAAGTGACCACCTATCCGGGCCCAGCCAGGGCAGCAATCCAGCTCAAAGGAAAGGATCACACTGACTTTGCAGCCAGGACCGAGCCTTGGGCTGTTCTGTTCGGAATACATGAAAAGCCATCGACAAAATGCGACCAGCACTTTTGGCAACCACATCACAGTTATTTGGGATTTTTCTTTGAGAAACTGAGACTTACCTTTGAAACTTGGGGGTAGGATGTTATTCTCTCAGACTGGAATAATCATCAGACTGTTGATTTGCAGTGATTCTGGGTTTTGTACATATTTCCAAAAGGAATGCTGGGCTTTCCTACATTCATTGCAAAGTCTTCCCAGCCTCCAGATCTTCCCATAAAATGCCTCTTCTCTAGTCATTAAATACATCCTGTGAGTGAACATGGTTATGGACTATTTACAGCCATCCTTGTTCATAGTATCAAAACATCATGAAAAAAAATGCCCATCATTAAAGGTCCAAAGTGATTGGATTGGCAAGGGGAATGGAGATGGGGCTGGCATGGGGGAGAGGATCTGTCTCTGGGATTTCATGAAATCCGGAACAATAGGACAGCTGCTTTTCTATAAACAGATTATTATTATTATTTCTACCTAGACAGCTTGATAGCAGCTATTATCTTCTTTCTGGGTGTCTTATCAAGTTCAGGCTGTGTGCAGCATGGACGATAAGGAATGAGAAATGTCACCCATGGGATTGTCAAAGATTATTTCTATGCACTGCTGTTCAGCAACAGCCAAACCCACAGAACTGAAAAGTAGTCCTATTGTTCACACTGGGCAGTTGCTCTTCTAACTACACCAAGAGAGCAGAAAGGATGTAGTTGCCATTGTGTGAAAGATAGTAATTTCATTACTTTCAGCTAAAGTTCAAGCAGTCTTGATTTTGAAAAGCAGAATCATCATGGATTATCTTTGAAGAGGCAGAAAACAAGGGAAGGAAGGAAGAAAGAAATGAGCTCAGAGCTTTTCAGGAGTATGAAGGAGTGTTTAGAAAGAAAAAAAAGAGACTAGTACAATACTTTCAATCCCTGGAACTTAAAATGCCAGGCATATAAGTCTCAAAGGAATGGCATATCATTGCATTACCATTACTTGTGATCCAACTGTTTAATGTAAAGACTCCATCCTACATATGACTCATCAGAAAATAGTTGATTTACTGAATTTCTGTTTGTTTCTGTTTCATACTAAGTTCTTGGATAAAATTAATCAGTCGATATTTAAAATTTTTCCTTTGCTCCCCAATGAAAAAATAGATGTTTTATTATAGATGTAGATGTGCTGGCTCTAAATAGTTAAAAAAAAACCAACCAATTTTATTGCATTTTTGTTCCAGTATCTCACAGCTTCCCAACATTTTCTCTTCCTAGTAAAAAGATTGGATTAGGAAAAAACAAAAGCAGAAACGAAGGTGACTAAGCTGTGCTATATTCCTGTAGGATTTCCTCTCAACGTGTGGGGACTGCTTTAGTCTTCTTTATACACAGTTTTAGGGTCATGTTGGTATTATAAGGCAAGCTGCTTGGAAGCACGCCAAATAAAATTTTTCCAATGTTTTAAATCACTGCTCTGAAATTGGAATTTCAAATGAATAAAATGCTTCACTCTCACACCAACAATTTCTGAAGTTAGATTTCAATCATGGAATCATTAAGATGGGAGTAGGAGGAAGTTGGGGAGGCAAAGAGCAAAGAAAGGGCACAGAGGCAGAAAGGAGGGTGTGGGAGAAGAGCAGAGGATTTTTGACTCTCTTTTGGAGGATGAACTGCAGGAAGGCAAGATGTGCACCCAGCATTCTTAAAACACCGAGCATGGAGTAAATACCCAGGAGGGAGTCATTAAAGGGAATAGTGAGGGGTTTGTAGAAAAGATGGTTTCAGTGTTAATATATCCAAAGGAACATTCTCCTAACTAAACAAGTTATTTAGGCTTTTTTGGCAGTTAAGTATTTATCAGGAAGCCTAGAGCTTCTCCAACTGTAATACACATATGAATTATCTGGAGATCTTGTTAAAATTCAGATTCTGATTCCGAGGTTTGGGACAAGGTCTGAGATTCTGTATTTCTACCAAACTCCCATGGGATGCTGCTGGTCCCCCAGAACACACTGAGTCATACATCAGGCACTGGGCAGGGAGTCATG